TGCTGGAACTTCAACTTGGTTTCTCTGCAAGAGCAGCCAGTGCTCCTAACCGCTGAGCCATCTCTCCAACCCCTATTTCCATTATTTTTAAATGTGTGTCTATGCGTGTACATGTGATTGAACGTCACGTGTGTGCAGGTGCCCTTGGAGGTCAGAAGAGGACACTGGATCCCTTGGAGCTAGAGCTATAAGCAGTAGTGAGCTACCCACCATGAGTGTTAGGATCTGAACTCTGGTCCTCTGGAAGAGCAATAAAACAACATCTTTAAAATGAAGAGTTAAGCTAGAATTCTCTGATGGCAGAGTCTTGTCCACATAACGGAGTGTAACATATTTCAGACTCTTAAACTTTAAAGCAATGAATGTTGGGACACATTAAGAGCCACAGACTTCTGTCAATGTTATTCAAAGGAATGAGTCTAAATTAGGGTGTAGTAGTGGCATCTAAATTAAGAAAGTAACACCAATAACAGTCTGGAAATGGCTGAGCTAATTAGCATAGCATAATTTAAGATAAATATATATTTAAAATAGAGCAGCAAGTATATAGAGTTTTGAAAGTGAATTCTTATTAATATCTCACATTTGTTTCATCTTAGGGAAGCTAAAATATGGGGTGTGCACTGAATGGAGATCCAGAAGATGTCTTTGTCATTTTCCCCATGAAGGCCTTAGGGTAAAGCAGATCCTTCTGTGAGCTCCGGCTTCCTTGTCTACAAACACGAAGCTGCACAGATGATAATCACGGCCACTTCCCAGTGGTAACCTGTACAAAATAAGGTGTTACTCCGTCACCTGATTGCCATTCTATATCTTCTTTCTTTTTAGTTTCTCATCTCTACCCCAACACATATTTTTGGTGTGGGTCTACATTATTGTAAGTGATCTAGCCGTATTCCTGACTCTGAATTTTGTTTGTCTGAGGCAACCCCTATAAAAGATTAAGTCAAGGTTTGTTGGGCTTTTGCTGTTGCTACTGTTCATTTTCCTTTCTTCTTTCTCCTCTCAACAAATACTGCTTGTGCATTGAATAGAAGCTGTGTAATAACATTAAACACAATACCCTGAGTATGATAGTGGTTTGGAGACAGTTTCTGAGAGAGATACTTGAGCCTTAAGGATGTGTAGAGTAAACCAGGTGAACGGGAAGCAGTAATACCTGGTGGAACAAGGTCCCAGAGAGTATGAAGCCCATGGAGCCCAGAGATGCTGAAGAGTCTGGCAGTGCTGTGCTATATGCAGAAAGTAATGGCTGGGAGATGAGGGGTGGCCTGCAGGCCTGGCAAAGAAGCCACAGGTCACCTGAGCATGGCAGAGCCCACCGAGTGGGTTACATTGTGGATGGAAGGTGCTAGGTTGGAACTTTAAACCGTAACCTCTTTTCCAGAAGAAGCAGCAAAGTTTTATCCTGCCAGAACTGCCACTCTGAAATCAAAACATCCAGGCCATTAAGGTGCCTCTTAGAGAGTTTTGCATTGAATCTAAAGAATTGAGAGTTGTACTGAATGGGATAACAGTGAATTGGTTGCTGCCAATGATTGTTACTGTAATAGGTCCCTTTCTGCACGCACACAGAGAAAGCACAAGGTGAAGCGATAAAGATGGATGGGCAGTGAGCAGACAGCATGGCTGTCTCTACCAGGCAGAGGGAGATGGAGAAAATTTGTGCAGAAACAGGCTGTGCCCAGCTCTGAGTTACTTAATGTGTATAAAACAATGGCATTCAGGTTGTGCTTTGCCCCAGTGACTCCATTTTACAAGCCACATTTGACTCCCCTGAAGGTACAAATGCAGAGGCAGAATGAGTCTGTGCCTCATTGTGCAGGTAAACAAGAGCACCACCCAGGAGGCCCAGAACAATAAGTGATTTATTCCTAAAAATGAAAACGTACCATCTATAAACTTACCAAAGTAGACTGGGAGCATATGAGCACACAGGCCTATTCAAAGCATATCAGAAAAACCACGAGAACTTATTAAACACATCAGACCAAGGAAGGATGAAACACTCTCACCTGGGCCCCACACCTGGGCCCCATACAAAGAAGGACATCTAATACTGTGATGACAATGACCCTTGCAGGTTGGCATCGTTATCAGTAAAGGGGTATTGTTGGGTTCATTCCCCCAGCCAAAGAATGAAAAGGCAGGAAAAATCACAGACCTGCAGAAAGCAAGTCAAACAAACTTTTATTGAAAGATGATCACATGAACACACATAAAGAATCGCACATACATAACACACATTCATAATGAAAGATGATGCTTTCCACGGTGGAGAGGAGACCAGGAAACTGAAACCCAGTGTCTCCAGGGGAAAATCTGGGTTTTAAGGGTTTTAGTGATTTTCCCTCCCCTAATTTTGGATTGGTCAATTTAAGCAAAAAGAGAAGACTGATAGGTCACATCTCCAAGCTGAGCTATCCAGGGCTATGTGACTCTAAGCAGGTCAGTTGAAGGGATGCTAACAGGGTTAGAAAATAAAGCTTTTCTGCCAGAGACCAAGAAGCAGCAGGAAGTGTAGCATCTATATTACTCCTCAGTGACCCTGTTTTGCACATTAAGGATTTAGTCCCTTACAAATCCACAGGTGGCTACTTCCAACAGCCCTGAAGAGGCAAAAGCCAAACTACGGTGATGTCCACTGAGTCTAAAGATATTGTCTTACTTTTCTTGCTGCTGTGATAAAATGCCTGACAAAAGCAATTTAAGGAAGGGTTATTTTAGCTCACGGTTCAGGGATGCAGACCAACGTGGTGGGGAAGTTGTGAGGCAACTGATCATGTTGCAATGAAGGCAGAGGCAGAGAGCGATGAATGCTTGAGCTTGGCCAGCCTTCTCCTTTCATGCAGTTGAGGACTCCAGCCCATGGGGTGGGTCTTCCTATCTTAACCAAATCTAGATACTCCCTCATAGGCATGCTCTGAAATTTGTCTCCTAGGTGACTCTGGATCCCATCAAATTGACAATCATTATTAGAAACTCAGTGAAGTTCTCTGCCTCATTTCTTATATTTGGGCAAAAGACTATTGCTGTGTTTCCTTCAAATAACATGTAAAAAAGATGTTGTTTTCTGTTTAGCAGACTGCCTGCCCCCTCCCCCAACAACCAACCAGGTATTGTCAAAGCCTATACCTGGCTGAAGGCAGGCAGTTTGGCCCCTGGAGAGCAACTAAGGGGATATTGGCAAGGCCTGTCCTAGCTGACCCGGGGCTGAGCCTGTACAGGTCAGTCTGATAATCAGTCTCCAGGTGCATGTCTGTCTCTTAGTAGTTCTGCTTGGGTGCAGCTTATACAAGTACATATTATAAACGAAACTGTTTCTAGGTACATGCCTTGTCTTAGAAGTTCTCCTTGGCTACTGTGGATGCAAGTACATGTGATTAATGAAACTGATTATTGAAACTGCAAAGGTCAAAGGAACGTGTAGTTTTGTGCTATATTTCTATAGTAGATTCTTTCCTGCTTTGAGGCACGGTGTGAAACATTGTTTTCCTACAATAAAGCACCTGCATGTTCATCAGCCTGCAGGTCCTGGATCCCAGCTGTTTCTGTGTCTGTGTCTTTTTTCCTTCATCCCCTACCCTCCCCACTCAGGTTTTAGGATCCCCTGAAGCTGGACTGCGGCACATAGGAACTATTAGGATTCCATAAAACAATGAACAAGAAATTCTCTCTCCTTTTTCTTCTCTTTTCTTCTTTTCTCCTTTCCCTGTTGCTCTTTCCTAGAGTTTTGAGGTTTTGTTTGTTTATCTGTTTTGAGACAATGCCTTGTGTGTCCAAGCTGGCCCTGAACTTGGTGTGTGGCAATGAGCTGCCAATCCTTCTAGATCTACATGCTGGGGTTACAGCTGTGCCACCACACCAGATTCTACAGTTTTATGTCAAGGAATTTCACACAGCAGTAGATGTTGGTGAGTGTGCCATCTAGGATGAGACAGTAGGTGGAGATTTAGCAAAGAGCCTGAGTTGCTGCTGGCCTCCAAAGGCCGTTACTGGTAGAATGGGGAGAGGAATATTGCACTTAAACCCTTAGCTCAGTGGATGAGGCCCACTCACGTTAGAGACATCCTGCCTTACTCGAAACTCACCAATTTAATGTTTTGTGTATATGTGTGTTGGGAGGCATTGTACGCGTGCAGTCCCCTCAGAGATCAAAAGGGTCCTCTGATAGAGCAGTATGTGCTCTTAACTGCTGAACCATCTCTCCAGCCCCATAATCCTTCTAACCACCTCTAGATCCATCTCCAAATATTTGAAGATCAAATTTCAACATGAACTTTGGTGGGAACAAACCATAGTGTCATCCTAAAGATTTCTGTGCAGCTTATACACTAAGGTGTCCACATCGGACCACTTGAATGGCTAGGCTGAAGCCTCTTTTATCTGGGAAGATCTAACACCCATTTACAGATTTGCCAGTCTCACTGCTTTGAAATATTTGCTAATAAAATACAAAAGCACTGTGTATGTTTCCTTATAGGTAATTGTTGTGTGAATACTGAGTGAATGAATGCTTTTGATTCAGAATCAACTAAGAAGAGACATCTTAATGATGAAAGAAAACTCCCAGATTTTTCGTTCATCCCTGGAGTGATTACTGATGTTTTTCTCAATTCAACTACAAAAGAAAATTGTCAATTTTATAAATAGAGTTTCTGTTTCCTCTGGGACGAATTTAATTCTTGATTTACCTACCTAACGTTTGCTACCTAACGTTTGCTTCCACTGGCAGATCACTTGTTGGTATTCTTTATTTTTTACTGAATTTAATAACATATTCATCGTCTTGTGATCAAACAGCATTTCGCTCCTCTTTTCTGAGAGATCAGTATCCAATTTTGTTGTGGCCTTTCCCTTTAAATGACTGTTCTTGAGGAAGTAGCTGTGGAAACAGCACTTCTTACTGTAACTTAGTGAACTACCAGGCAAACACACCACCTAAAAAATTCTAGGGGCCATCCCACACACCTTTGGTCACAAATGCATTCAATTATATGTTGGATGTTAAGAAAAGCTTTAATTGAGCAAATGTACTATGTAACATTTCAAATATAAGTGGCAGGTCACCAGGAGTGTTATCAAAACATGTAATAAAGTTACACTTTTTTAAAGGACAGAAAAATGATTTGCAGAACCCATAAATCTTTCTCCTTATGAGCACATGCAGCAATTCATTAATGCAAAAGATTTTGTTTTTAGGAGACAGTTTTCTATGTTGACATCCCAGGCTGGTTTCCAACTCCTGATTCCATTACCTCTTCCTCCAGAGTGCTAGGATAACAGGTGTATTCCATGTCTGGCCACTCATGCAAACTTTTACGTGTAGATAGGATCATTTTCTTTCCTTCTGAAGAATTCTATTGCAGCTTTGAGATGAAAAGTGCATCGATGAATCAATGCACTGTGGTAATGATACAGCTGTCTTGGACTTTTTATGTGAAGACTGCTAAAAGCTTATTTCAGATGCCCAGCTGGCATAGTGTGCCTGCAGTGAGGAGCACACTGCCCTGCCACTGGTTGGTACAGTACCACCTGGCTCTGCATGTCAGGCAGTGGATGATAGGGATCAGATCCTTCAGCAAACTGTACCTTGAATGCTTCCCTTCAGTTTTCACACAGGCAGGATGAAACCTTACTTGTGCACCAGTGAAAGATGGTATAGGCTTTACCTAGCAAGAGAAGAGATTAACCCCAGGCTTGCTGGGACTGAGAACAGACATGTAAGTCCTAAGCTGAAGGCCACACTGTGATACATGAAGAATCATGGGTTGACATCCAAGTCAGATGTCTCCCACAGAGGTTTCCAAGGAAGCTCCCAAGGATACCTCAGACTCCTTGGGAAAATATTCAAAGTCAAAGACACCCCACTCCTATGCCATAGGGTCAAAGTCCTTCCATTCTAGAAACCATAGCCTTAATGTAAGCTAGCCTCCCTGGACCTGCCACGGCACCACATCCAGGGAAATGGAAGACAGGAGCTCTCTGTAGAGCCAAGAACAAGGGATGGCAAGGGGGTGGAACTACCTGACTCCTACCTCCTCTCACCCCCTCAACCAGCTGTCTGCCACAGGCCTGGAGTCAAAGAGAAATAGCTAGAATGTTCAGTCCAATCAGACAAATTGGCTGGGTGTCTCTTCAGATTCCAGAACACTTGGAAATTGTAATTCTGCCAAAGGCGGCTCTGTCAGTGACGATCTGGGTGACAGATTGCAGTTAAAAACGTCATCTATTGAACCTAAAAAACAGTAAATAAGCCACTCATTATTATCATCACTGCAGAAAGAAAAAGTACCTTTAAAACTCATGTAACATAACCATTTCCATAATTGAGAATCCTGGCTTCCACAGGAAAACCCGAAAGGCTAAACAAAACCATGTTTCGTTTTTGCTTTTCAGTGGGATATGATTGTCAGTTGTTTTCCTGTGGGCTGATTTACAGTGAACTGCATGTGCTGGGGAACAGATGCTCAGGACAGAGGCCATAGATCTGATTCTGGCTGTTGGTTGGTTGGTTTGTTTCACAGGGCTGAGGATGGAACCCAGGGCTTCCCACAGGCTAGGCAAGTGCTCTACCACTAAGCTACATTCCCATTCGAGGTCAGCTTTGAAGGGAACGAGACTGGGCTGGCAGCTTTGGTGGGCCCCTACTTGGCTCAAGGGCTGGGTTCCCATGTTACAGGTGTGCTTTGGCTTTGCCATCTGCCAGGGCAACAGGCTGCACCATCTGCAGGGCCTGCCAGCTCCCAAGAATGATCCTCCCTGACTGCTCTTGAGCTTATAAAGCCTCATATCCAGCTCAGGATGCACTTTCTAAGAAGCATGGGACCTTCACAGGTATTCTAGTGCCCCTTGATGACAGTGGATTCCTTAAGAAAACTACAGGGCAGAGGGTGAACCACCTTGAAACAGGAAGGCTGTACAGGCTGCTGGGGCCAGTGGGTAATACTAAGGATCAGGCAAGTGTGACTCTGTCACATCAAGGAGAGTGGGCCTCCACAAAGGATAGGGCTATGATAGATAGAACATGGACAGAGAGAGAAAGCTAAGACTACAGAGAGAGAGAGGAGGGGAGGGAGGAAGGGAGGGAGGGAGAGAGAGAGAGAGAAAGAGAGAGAGAGATTGACAGAGGGGAGGAGGGAGAAGGAGGAGGGAGGGAGGAGGGAGGGAGGGAAAGAGAGAGGCCATTTCTAAGATTAGAAACTCCTGAGTAAGGCCTCTTACCATACACACTCGAGGAAAGAATTGCCATTAAATACATTAATGAAGACTGTTTACATCTGCACTAGTAGTGCCATGAAGGTCCTAAGCTGGTGGTTTCTGCAATTAGCCATCAGAGCCCTGATTTGGGAAGTGCTCTAGGGCCCAGACTAGCCCTCAACAGAGAGCAGCTCATAGCGGACACGTCATCCAAGCCATCTGCCTGAATCCTGAGCATATCAAAACCAAGAGCCTGCCATATGTCATGTTAGTTTGTTAAATGAAACCTTCCCAGAAGTTATTCTTACAGAATCTGAGAGCCCTTCCAAACACACTGTTAAAGATAGAGACCACAGCCGCTTAGACATCCGTTCTGGCTGGGAGTGTCAGAGATCATTCCGTAGTCCAGAATGCACAGGGGGGCTGGGGGCTGGGGGTTGGGAATACTCATTTAAAAATAGTTAAAATCTCATGTGCTGAAGTAAACACAAATATTCATTTAAATTAATAATTTTTAAGATTTCTTCTGGGTTTGCTGCATAATATAATATGTCGGAAAACAGGGAGTTTTAAAGGAAAACTCACTGTCTTACTATATACTTCTTTTTTCATTTTTTCCCTCTTCTTTTCTTTTTTCTGAGACAGGATCTATGTTGCCCAGGCTGGCCTCAAACTCTTGGACTCAAGTGATCCTCCTGCCTTAGCAGGTGCACATACCATTGTGCCCAGCTTCTCCTTGGGGGTCACAAACAGTTCTTAATCCTTTCTTAGTTGTGGGTACTAGGTTTCTGTTGGGTCTGGAGTCACATCTCTGGCCTTTTCAGTTAGTAGCCACTTCCCTCCCATGCCCAGTCTGCACTGTTTGATCTAACTACCTTTCCCATGCCCTAGAGCATTCATAACATACCTCTAGATGTGACACTGAATTTCCGGTCAGAGAAACTGCTCCTTCGGATTAAAGGTTCACTCATTTTTTCCAGAAATAACTTAATTGTCTCTTTCTTTTCTGGATTTGTGCTTGACAAGTTCAGAACCTTTCCATCTACTTTTACAGTGGAATTGCTGAGCCCAAACCAATAGAAGAAATCAAATAGGGCGTCAGCTTTGAATTCATAGGCAAAGCTCAAATTTTCTCCATTCATCACTTGAGTTCCTGGAGGGAAAAATTTCTTCACTACATCTTGGAAATCAAACTGAAAGAGAGAAAAAGTTAATTGACTTGGGAGATATTATAGAATCAACCACAACCCAAATGTCCATATCCTTGTGCTCTGAGGGGCAGGCCTGGGGTCTTGGGCAGGCAGGGACACAGTCTTTGCATGAACTACACAGGTGGTGGTGGGGAGACAGCCCTGCTCACCTCAAGTCGGTAGCTTTCTCCAATCACTGAGGATATGACCATGTCCATCCCTTGCTCTATCTGTCTTCGTATCTTGGGATGCCTTGTGTTTACAAGAAATGCATATGTCCTTTCTAGAAATCAGCAAACAGAAGTCAGAAAAAGTGTTTGTGTGACACGAATGTGCTTCTTCAGATTAGTAAAAACTGTGGCTCGAACCTCTTGTAAAGATTTGACACATCTTTACCCTTTCCTGCGCACTCCCTCAGACTCTTACCAGTTGCCTAGTGAGATTTCTAGGAATGTTCCTCAGAACTTTACAAGTTGGAAGGGAAGTCTTAGCCACTATAAAAACAGGTTAGGAAATTGATTCCCTTGGAAATTGAAAGATGAAAACTTTGTTTCCACAGGGACACACACAGCTGGAGAACAAAGTAAGCTTCTTGTGGCTTGTTCCCAACCCAACTTGCTAGGTATGTAAGTCGTGACCTGGTTCTCACTAGCACCTCAGCTACAAAGTGCCCCTGTGCTTTCCACCCACAGTTCTCTGCAAAGAACTGCCACTCTATGCCAGGACCAGGCTGGGTTCTTTATTCCCCAATTTTTTATAAATGTGTTTATCTGTGTGTGTGTGTGTGTGTATGTGTGTGTGTGTGTGTGTGTGTGTGTGTGTGTGTGTGTGTATGTGGTATAGTGGGCCCCATGGAGTGCATGCAGAGGTCAGCAGACAACTTTTCTGAGTCCATTCTCTTCTACCTTGTGGGTTCCTGGGATTGAACGCAGGTCTCCAGGCTTAGCAGGTGCCCTTAATGGCTAAGCCATCTCAGTTGCCCCAGATTAGGGTTCTAAGGACCAAGGTAATGAGGATGGAATCCTTTCTCAAACCTCCCCCAAGACAATCCCAAATGGGACCTCTGTTCAGGCCATTGTTTAGACTACCACATCACTGCCCTGGAAGACCATTTGTTTTCTGTTGTGTTGTTTTTTTGTGTTACATTCCCTTAAGTCTCATTCTGTCCACTTCTTCACAATATAAACAAAGAGAACATTGTTTCCTCATTGAAAATCATTGGAATCTTATTAACTATTCGTTTCTTTTCAAGCACCCAGACTCAAGTTTCAAGTCTTAAATTACCCAAGTGCTTCCCCAAGGGAGACAAGATACCCATGTCACCCTCTCTTTAAAGGTGTGGACCAGCCATTACATAATTTTGAGAACATGCGTTGCCTTTGAGATATCTCAGAGGCAAACCTGTGGCCCACCAATAGCAAGTGTTTACATTTTCAAAGAATGCATTTTGAACTAAATTTACTCATCTTATTTTCCTATCCCTGTTTTCCCTTCTGAATTTTTAAAGGAACTTTACATATAAACTTTAGACATGATATAAAGTAAAGCAAGCAAGCAAGCTATTTTGTACCTTGAACTGAATTTCATGCAAATAAACCAAGACCTTTAAAAGGCTCATTAAACACTAAGGTCTAATATATTCCGCAGTTGGGCAGGTTGTACACTCTACAACCTAGATGATGACTTTCACATTTATAGACTTGTTCATTTTTATGTTTTATGTTTATTATGACAAACTTCTAGAAAACATCAGTGCTTGTCTTGCAGAAATGGAAACTTGTAATTTGCATAACAGTGCAGTTTAGAATAGTGGCAAGGCTGACATGTTGCCTTAGTCACAGTGTTCACAGTCTAAGCTTAACCATCTTTTGTTTTTATATTATAGACTTCTACATGTTATAGCTTTTCTCATGACTGAGCAGCCCTTGGAGTCTTGTACCTCCTTCCACCTCAGTTATCACTGAACTGTGGGCTTTCTGTAAGCACTCACAGATACTTTCTTGTAACACTTACTGAACTTTCGCTGAGCTGGGAGAGTTCTCATTCTCCTTAGATTCCTCCTGACAAAATGTGGCAGGAGAAAAACTTATACAGTGCAAACTGCAGTCCCGGAGAACCAACTGGCTTCCTGGTCATCAGCAAGTCACAGCACATGTGGGGCTGGGATACCCTCACGGTGTGGCTAGTCACTGTGGGCTGTGCTTTGCCATCCTCTGCAGACAGAGTATCCTGATGTTGTTAAGAATGAGCAGAGAGAGCTGTACTAGTTTCAGAGGGAAGGCTGAGGAAGGCCATCTTAAATACGCAGGTCACTAGTGTTACTCTGGACTCATTTTAGGAATGCCACTTGGAATCAAGTTCCAGGAATTCCACCCTTAATCACAGATTTGCTCAGGTCTTTCCTACATACTACTCTGAGCAGGACGAGAGTAGAGATATGGAGACATTTTCATATCGGAATTTGCGTTACTGATTTCTTGGGAAACCATAAAGAAATGTGTTTATATATGCAATTCTAGTACATAGAAACACAAAACCTAAAGCATCAACTGCCTTAAAAAAAAAAAACTTAGTTTCCTTCCCATTAAAATGAGGATCATATATGTGCCCCATAGGTAAGATAACCTTGTATCCTACCACAGCAGCACTTTATACCTCCATCCCAGAAGAACACTTGAACTGTACTGACTACCATGCTCAAAAACGTTCCCATTTGAATGATAAGCCCCATGGGGCTTTTGTGGCAGCTGGTTACAGTGGAACATTCCTGAGATACTGTAGGTGTGTGATTTCTGGTAGTCTCGTCACTCTAGCTGTCCCTGCAACCCCAGAAGGCCCAGGATATTAGATCATTTCCTGCCTAATAGGAAGTAGAAGCTCTGAAGGCTCAAAATGCCAGTTCACTTCCTGCCTGAACAGGAAGTAAGAAGCTTGGAGACTGGTGGCTTCTGCCGTAGAATCTTTAGAGGTATGCTGTGCCAGCTTGCGCTGCGCTCCAAGTGGCCTCACATAGCAGGTTCCTTGCTGTTGGCCTTGCCATAAGCTCATGTCCACCCTTCCTTCTCCATGCCCCTTTCCTACCTCATTAGCATGCCCACTACCCAACAAGGCAGAACCACATGAAAACTGCTTATATACCCACCTTTTGAGGAGTCCTTTTTGGTGTGTACGTTAATAAAGAATACCATTGGTTTGCTCAATATAGTTTCCCTGTAGTCTTTATAATCACAGTAATTGGTCAGTTCCACATATCTATGAAAAAACAGAGATAATTGCAGGTGTAATGTCCTTGATCATCTCCGGAAGGGCATGCACTTGCTGGCCAGGTGCCGACCTCTGCCACAGCTTCGGAGGAATGTGTCCTAAAATGTGTCCTAGTAAGGATCACCACATGTTGTACCATGAATGTTAATCTTCTACCTATTGCTGATTGCCTGAGGGTTCTATGGTCTTTGGGGTGGCTTGGTGTCAAGGTGTGGCTTTCAGGGAAACCTTTACCAGATGAAACTAGCATCATCCATCATGTGAACACAAGAGTTCATCTGAAGCTATCAGAGCTCTAAGTCCCCTGAATCAAAAATTAATTATAGGGACTAGAGAGATGGCTTGGCAGTTAGGAGCACTGGCTGCTCTTGCAGAGGACCTGGGTTCAATTCCCAGCACCCACATGGCTGCTAACAACTGTTTATAACTCCTGTTTCAGGGAATCTGACACATTCTTCTGGTCTCCATGGCATTGCATGCATGTGGTACATTTACATACATGTAGGCAAAATACTCACATGTATACAAATACAACTGAGAAGATGGAATTCACTGAGTCTTCTCCAGTGCATTCACCTAATACGTCTGGACTTTTCCTTCTTTTCCCCTTTTCTAATACTAAAATAAGCACAGCCCCCTGCAGGGATTATAGCATTAATCATTATTCCTACGAACTATTACTAATTCACATTTCCTCAAGTCTCAGCTAGTGAAATTAAAAAATAAAACTGCTAATATATTTTTGTGAATATCCACATTAAATTTAGCTTCCTAGTTTGAGTTTATTTGATCTTAGAAAGATTTTTCTGGATCCTGATTCTCATTTACAATGTTAGCTTTCACTCGCTGCCATACAATTTTTCAAAACAGTCTTTCTATGCCTCTACCTCCATGGCTAATAAAAAGATCCAAATGCAAATTGACTTCCTTCAAGGGGATGGTTCATTTCCTAGCTGCATCAAGCTCAGTGGCTATGTGGGTGTAGGCTGAATGGCATGGCATGGGAAGGATGCTTCCATCACAGTCCCTCTTAAATAAGACTTGTCCCCAGTTGGTACAACTGGATGCATCTTCCTGGAGGGAATGGAATGTCAACATTGACAGCGGGGCGTGCCTTTGCTATACTGCACCAACTGTTTCTTACATCCAGTAATGAGCAGACAACTCCAGGCATTTTTCTGTCTGACAGGTAGTCCTTCCAGTGCCCAACATGAAAACCACATCCTTGGAAAGCAATGGGCTGCCACAGGAGGCTGTCACTGCACAGTTGTCTCTCAGTCTCTCCCATGTTCACTTCCTACAACTCCCTCTGAGGGGTCACTATACAGACAGGGACTCAAGAGTGAGTCAAGAGCATTCCAGAGGATGCCTACCCCCAAGACAGAGAAGTATAGCTTCAACTTAGTTGTCTCTCAGCATGAATTCCTAGAAATCTATGTCATTACCTTTTTACTGGATTGTCAGATCAGACTTAGAGACCCCTAAGAGAAGATCTGAACTCTTTCCTGCTTTCTATATCACCAAGTTTGTGTGTGTGTGCATGTGTGTGTGTATGTGTTTTGTATATGTGTGTATGGGGCCTGTGTATGCACATGTATACACGCAGGTGCATGTGTGTGTCTGTGTGTGGAAGGCATAGGTCAATATATGGTGTCTACAATTGCTTTCTACCTTTTTTCTTATTTTTTGAAATTTTTTATTATAAAATTGGAGTACAAACGTTATTAAAATACAAAAAGATCAGCAGGTCTAGCTGTTCAGTTCCAAGGGTTTTTCAGTGTTTGACATTTAATCGCAGGTTTTACTTTAGGATGTCTTACTAGACTACATAAGGGACAGGTTATTAAATGTTTAATCATGAATATTTTTGAATTAGTAATGCAAATATCACCTTTGTGCACTGAATATTTATTATATTTGCTAACGTTGTCATTAGAGATAAAATGCAAACAATTTTAAGGTAACCAGCTCCTTTAACTCTCACTTCTTCATTTTACCATGGTCCCAGAATACCTTCAGATTACAACTTTCTAAGCTTGAATTCAGGGTAAAGACGGGACGGCAGAACAATGTCAGAGAAAGCAGTGTTTCAAATAAGACCTAATTCCCGTCCTAGTGCAGTGATGTGAACACGCCACTTCAGAGCCAAGGCTCACTGTGAACCTGAGCCACAGCTCATGCTGAACTTGCCGCTTTATTTGCCAAGGGCCATTAAGCAGTATCTTCTTTCATGGGGTGATTACATGTGTGCTTCCACATAGTAGATGCTCTGTAAATAGGATGCATAGATTTAATCCTGGCCAACCCAGCTCACCCATGTAGTAGAGTTCTGAAAACTTCTGACTCCTACCAGAGCTGTATTCCAGGAATGGGAGTGTTATGAGTACCAGAAAGAGAGATGAACAACAGCTTCTGTCCTCAGTCTGCCACTATGGAAGGCTGGAAGAGGCAAGATGTGGAAGATGGGTCTACAAATCAGGAGTGGTAGGAAGATCTGCCACCCTCAGTGCCCAGCCTCAGCTTTTCTTGGGTTCCCCAGCCTCACCAGCACAATCTGGAAAATGATCCTGAATTTCTTCTTTCTCTAGTGACTCACTGTTCAAAGACAAGTAGGAACTCAAAGCCAAGGCTTCCACCCAGGGGGGGTGGGGGGTTATATGTTTGTATATATGTGTGTGTATCTAGTAAAATAAATACATAGATATACATGTATGAAAATATCACATGTACCCCTTAAATATGTTTGTCGATTTAAAAATGTAAAATTTCATATTCTAAACAAACAAAAGCAGTGTGAGCAGGGGTTCAAACAGACATCAGAACACCTGCGTGCACAGCAGCATTGTTCACAAGAGCCAACAGGTGGAAACAACTTGAATGTCCAGCAACAGATGGATGGCTTAGCAAAATGTATCATGCCCACACAGTGGAGTATTATTAAGGCTTCGAGAAGAAGGAAACCACGGGGTGTGGTGTCACACACTTGTAATCACAGTCTGAGGCAGAAGCTCAAGGCCATCATCTGTTATATAACAAGTTTGAAGCAAGTCCGAGCTACACGAGACTATTTCTCAAAAGGTAGGAAAAATATCAACTACAATTAACTACATGCTACAACATAGTAAACCTTGGTGACAATATCTAAGTGAAATAAACCAGTCACAACAAGGCCAATTATAGTATATTCTATTTATATTAGTTACCTGAAATAATCCAATTTCAAATTCACAGAGGCAGAAAGTAGCATGGGGATTACCCAGGGCTGGAGGATGAGGACTGAGTAGTGGTCTAATGGTTGTAGAATATAGAATTTCAATTTGGGATGATAAAAAATTTCGAGAACTGAGTGGTGGTTATGGTTGTACAGTAAGAAAGTACTTATTACCACTGAACTGTGTACTTAAAACGGGCTAAAATAGCATACTATGTGTGGTGTACATTTTATCACAATTAAAATAAAAAGGGAAAGCTCCTTGGGGGAGTGTAGTAAAGAGCACATCCTGCAACAGTCTGTGTTGGAGTCCCAGAGGCTGTTCCTGGCTTTCAGAATCCTTTGATGTGACACTAAATAAAAAGATGAGGGACAGCCTTCTCTAGGGCGTGTAGGGTCTGTTGTTTCCAGGGTTTGCTTGAGTGCCTGATGCAAAGTGCCCTACACTAGTCAAAACTTCCTTCCCTCCTCCTTTTGCTCCAGCTGTAGTGAAACTGAGCAACATTTTCCCTTCTGATTCCAATGTGGGTGGCTTGAATCAATGGGATACATTTGTTCATCCACTGGCTGAGCAGTGGAGAAGAGCTCTGTGTATGTGCAATAAGCACTTATTAAACACTTGTGCTGAGGCAGGTTCTGGTAACACAAAGATTTAGGAGTGAAATAACCTTGCCATCAAGAACATGATCTATTTGAGGGATGAATATAGTATACCATTTCAACATGCACCACGTTGCTGGAGCACAGCACCAGCAATTTGTCTGTTGTAGCCTGTTTCTCTGTTGCTATAATTAAACACTCTGACCAAAAGCAACTTGGGGAGGAAAGGGGTTTATTTCATCTTATGGCACCTAGGCCACAATCCATCACTGAGGGAAGTCAGGACAGGAACCTGGAGATACAAACTGAAGTAGAGACCATGGAGGAACGCTGCTTACTGGCTTGCTTCCTCTGGCTTGCTCACCTTTCTTATATAGCCCAGGCTCACCCACCCAGGGATGGTACTGCTCACAGTGGGCTAGGCCCTCCTATATCAATTAGCAATCAAGAAAATACCTCCAAAGAATGCCCACAAGCCAATCTGATGGAGGAAACTTCTCAATTAAGGTTCCCTCTTTCCAGGTATGTCAACTGACAGCCAAGATCAGCCATCACATTGTCCAAGTGCAAGACTCAAGACCCTGCCCAGTTTTATCCAATCAGAATTTGTGTTTTATTAAGAACCCCGGGAAACTTGCATGCTATCTTAAAGAAGCACTCATGAAAGACAGGACTCTGCCATGCAGAGGCTTAAAAGCTGGTTCATCATTCATACATACAGATACCAGAGGAATGCCAAGTTCTCTGTGTTCAAATATCTAAGCTCTGTTAATTTGTCCCTTGATTACATAAATAAAAGGAAGCAAGGGCCTGGAATAGAGCCACCTATTGAGATGAGATGGGTACAGATAAAAGATTGTTATGTCTCTTAACACACAAAAGAGAAGTTGGCAAAGCACAAGAGGGTTGGGGGGTCGGGGGGGGAGTTGCATCTCAGAAACAGGCAGCCATTTGACAATGACCAGGTGCAGTGAAACTAGGAAGTACACACAGCGTGGCTAGAAGTCGGGAAGGAAGCCAGGAAAGGAGGCAGTGTGGCCAGAGCTTTAGAGTGATGGGGCTCAGCTGACATCAGCTCTGACTCTGTGATCTCTATGGCTATTTAACTTTGCTGAGACTCATTTTCCTTACCAGTAGAAGGGCTAGCTTCCCATGAGCTGGTTAACCAATCAAATAT